CCCTGGTTTTCCCGGAGGCCCTCACCCTACTCTGACTACACCCATGGTCCCTGTCTCACTCTCTCACTTTATTTGCCTCAAAATGCCCATTTAAATAGTACCTTTCTAAAGTCTCCTGCCCTCTTTCTTCCTAGGCCTTTAGTCAATTCTAGCCCCTATCTATTCTTGTAGAACCATCATAGTGTTAGGCTGGAGAAAGGAAAAACAAGGACATGCAAACAGAACAGAGAGATGCCATAGGGGGAGAACAGACCAGACCCCAAAGTCTGTGCCATATATGGAAAGGGGGACAGCTCTCCCTGAATTCCATCCTGATGTACCAACTGAGACCCAGATGTCAGCCTCCTCCCTCTTGGAAAGAAAAAAGTTTCTAGTTGACTATTATGTCACCTTTAGCCAATCATACCTCAACACCCCCTAGGATAGCTTGCCCACTCCTCCCCCTCCTAATCCCTTATAAGCGCTCCACCTCCTTAACCAAGCGTGACTTCTCTGGCCTCTGGCAAGAAGGCCACAGAACCTCACCCGGGGGCGTTTAAATAAATTACCTGGCCCATTGTTGCCTCTCTTTGCCTGCTTATTCCGGCTAGAATTTATCTTACACATAGTACTTATCATATTCTATTTTTTAAAACCCACCTCCATCCATAGACCACTTTAAAAAAAAACTGTGGTAAAATAAATGTACCATAAAATGTATAAATTTAACCATTTTTCAGCATACAATTCAGTGACATTAATGTCACTCGGACTGTTATGTAACAATTGCCACTGTCTGTTTCTGAAACTTTTCACTTCAAACATAAACTCTGTACCCATGTAGCAATTTTTGGTTGTGAGTTACGGTGGGTAAAATTGCAGTATTTCCAGAATCTCTAGCCTGGCCTTAGTTCATCTCCATATCAATAGGTGTTTCCAAGGGGTGGAGAGAAGTACATGTCCATATCAATAGGTAGTTACTTGGGCAAGCAGCGCTTATCTGGAACAGGTTGGGTGGGGCCTCTTGTGCTGCTAGTAACACAGGGACCATGGGTGTAGGCAGAGTAGGGTGAGGGCTTCCGGAGAAAAAGCAGAGCAAGATAATTACAGTCAGAACAATGTAACAATATGCAAAGAAGTCTGTATCAAAACTCTGTGTTAAGCATTATGCAAAGTCAGAGTTACACTAATTCTCTAGGGTAAAGATTTGTATACATGACTAGGAATATAGACATTATTCCGTGAAATCGCTTAAAGCTCAAAAGGCCAGGAGCAACTTGGCCTGGAATATTTGAGTGTTCTGCAGATAAAGAAAAGTATCTCAGCATAAATCATCACTTTATTGTATCAGTTACATCGTGACAATGTAAAGTTTACCTTATCCTGCTAAACGGCCCAGTTTATTTTAATTGTAACTAGTGTTATTTTCCCTTCTCTAATCGTATTCTCCAACCTAGGCAAAAGAGTGCTTTGGTAAGCAATCTCAACTATAAACAGCCCAAGCAAACAGACAACAACCCAGCCCACCTTGGGGGCAGGGCAGGCAGTCTTACAAGTCTACACTGCTAACCCTTTACCCTCATTCCTGAAAATCCTCAACTGTGCATAAAACCCCTAAACAATGAGCCAACCACGGACTCTCTTGTCCCCTCCTGGCGTGATCTGGGAGCTCTGTCCTCTCACTTTATCTCTAAATAAAAGACTGTGCCTTGCTCTCCTACCTTGAGTGTTTGTGAAGCTCATTCTTCGGCTTCATGAACAAGAACCCCGGCATCACTAGGTCAGGAGAGAATGTGCTGCCAGAGCAAAAGTGGATGACTGCTTATAAGAAATAAATGGGTTTTTTCCAGTTTATTTCTCCCTTTGATTGATTTCAGTTTCAAAGATATTTGCCCCAGGATTATCCCCCTGGAGTTACAGGTACAATTCACAATACATTACATTGTAATTACGTAAAATCTCATTTCCTAGGATTCTAGTAACTCCATTTACCTCACTGAAGTTTACCATTATTTTAACTCAAGAAAATGATTTCCTCAGGAATTTGACAATGCAGAATACATGAGAAATGATATAAGGGAAAATATTGTTTGAAATTTCCTTAAAAATCTATTTTAAGCACTGAGGAACTTTTAAACCCTCTTCATTTTTATTTCATTGCCGCATTTCTTATAAATCTTATCCATTCTTTAAAGCAATTTGACCAAGGAGTTCTGCTAGGCCATAATTAGGTAAGCTTCAAGAAGTGTGACTACAGAAAGGAAAAAACAATCTGAAATGAACAGGAGTCCAACTTTGCTTTGAACATGCCAGTTTTCTCCCACAGGTGATTCAGAGTTCTTGGATTCAAGTGACAGAAAGAGCGTCTTGTCATAAGCAAACGAGAATTTATTGGAAAGCTCTTTGAGACCTTGTGAGTCCAAAGGGTCTATTTGGAGAAGGACAGGAATCTGGACTTCAGTGGTGGGAGGCACTGGGGCCGCAGTAGAGACTGTGGGGACTGGCTGGTTGGCGACCTGCTGGGGCTGTTCCTCAAGGTCTAGCATCCTTTACTCCAGAACCAAAGTCCTGGGAGACTGTGGCCCCCTGGCCAAGGCCATTTTACCCACTGCCCTCCTCTCTCAGCCTGTGGGTGGGCCCAAGATGAAATATGCTTCCTTCAGCATCTGCAACATTAATAAGGCGCTCTTTCCAGTAGGAACCAGATGCTAGGCAGCCAAATACAAGCCAACAACCCAAGTGTCCTCTTTGCTTCTGAGATTTTGGCAAAGGAATTTTAATTAATTTTGTGTGGCAATGATTTATCTATTTATTAAACCACTTTATTGAGATATAATTCACATACTATATAGTCCCCCCTATTGAAAGTGGACAATTCATTGAATTTTAGCATATTCACAGAAGTGTGTGACCACCTCCACTTTCTAATTTTAGAATAAATCATTTACTTTCAAAGTTGAAGATATGAAGTCCACATTGTACATCACTGACTAGATTTGGGAACATACCTGTCCTCTGGGGGTAGGTCTCTGGCCACAGAGACCTCTCCCCTGATCCTCTTTATCCTTGACAGCCCAACCAGGGAACACATGCAGGATCTACACAGCAGGTGTTGTGCCTGGAGACAGTTCTGCCTCCGCATGCCCGCTGGCCCCATAAGCCCGGGCTCTGGAAAAGGGGAAGGGCTGGAGATGTGGAGACTCTCAGCTCCTTTGTCAGCAGCAGGGGTCCTATACCCTCTTCGAACCTTCTGTCTTCGATTCATTTTTACTCCTTAAAGGAGCCGAAATAGAAAAAATCCTGTTGTTGCTATGCAGACTGGCCTCTGGAGGGCAGGGCAGACAATTCCTCAGAGCAGGGATGGAGCCTGTTCCTCAAAGTCACCCCATGGCTCCACTGGGAAGCACTCCTCTCTGGGATGTTCTGTTCCTGGAGCCCTTCCTGGGTTTCCACAGCTTGTCCTCCAGACCTGCTTGGGGTGGGGGTGGGGCTGTGGTTTGTATCTTTTCTAGGAAGAAATCTCTCAAATCCCCCTATACCCACACCAACTCATATTTAAAATGTACTGAAAGGAGCATTAACCTCTCCTGAGACTTTTCACCTTTTTATTTCACATGACTTACCCTTCATAGTCTTATTTTTATTGTGGTAACTATTTTTAAGTGTGCAGTTCAGTGTCATTAGGTATATTCACATTGTTGTGTAACCATCCATCTCCAGAAGGTTTTAATTTTACAAAACTGAAACTCTGCACCCATTGAATTGTAACTCCAATAACTCCCCTTTCCCAGCCCCAAATAACCACCATTTCACTTTTTGTCTCTATGAATTTGATGACTCTAGATAACTCATATATGTGGAATCACAGTATTTGTCCTTTTGTGACTGGCTTATTTCACTGAGCATATCTTCAAGGTTCATCCATGTTGTAGCATGTGTTAGAATTTCCTTCCTTTTCAAAGCTGAATAATACTTCATTGTATGGATATACCACCTTTGTTTATTCATTCATCCGTTGATGGACACTTGTATTACCTCCATTCCTTGGCTATTGTGAATAATGCTGCTATGATCATAAGTGTACAAATCTCTCTTAGAATCTCTGCTTTCAGTTCTTTTGGGTCTTCAGAGTCTTTTATGCCCAATGGGAGAACAAGGTAAATCTGTTCCAATATAGGGTTCTCCAACTTTGCCATGTATGGCTTACAAATGAAATGTAGGTTTGGCTCCCTGGGGTAACTGGAGGGGTTTGGAGCCCAGACAGATTTGTGGAGGTGGCAGTTTTAGGAACCTGCTGCCCCAGTTCAGGACACCCAAGTTGGAAGTTAGGTGTGGGAGCTGAGTTGGAAGACCATGTTGATTTAGTAATGGAAGTTGCCACGCTGAGGCAGCTCTGAGAGACCAGTGTCAGCTGAGCAGAGGAACCAGGCTGTGCAGGAAAGAGAGACAGAAGCCATATCCAGGGCTGAGTGGAGGGTAGGTACCTGGAGGGCAGGGCAGGGGGGTAAGGAGAAGAGGAGGGGAGGGACAAGACAGTTTCTGTGAGGCCTGTGGCTGCTCTGCATTTTGGTTTTGTGAAAGTCAACTCTGTCTTTACAATAAGAATTTTCCTCCCTTAAAGTGGGTTTACATGCCTTGAAAGTTCAGTAGGTTGGGCTCGCTGGGAGAGAAGCAGGAAACATCGGAAGCCGCACAGTGGGAGTGTAACAAAGAGGCCACCAAGACAGCACTAAATGCTTCTTTTTTAAATAGTTTATTAATCTGTTTTGCCAAACAGGTAATGGGAAATGAGAAGGTTAATTTACTAAAAAGTTCAGGTCATGAATGCCCCTTTCCCCTATGAAACGAAAGACTCCATGGTTACAGAGTGCGCCATTGATAATGACAATATTTCAAAGTAAGGTTTCCATTTCATATATAACAATGTAAACTTCAAAAATAGTAAACTCTAATACCCTTGTCCCTCTTTACAGATCTATCACAGATAGAATTTTCTGGCAGACCTAAATTGTGTAAGTAAACAGCCTGGTGCTTAAAAGTTTCATAGAAAGGTTTACAGGTTCAGTAAATAATTTTTTCAGTCTTGATCATGAAATAAAAGCAACCAGCAATTCACTTCCTGCATAGTCTGCCTTACACATGCATTGCACACTGTGAACCACCTTCCAGTGCACTGGTCATCAGCTTTGTCATTTTGTGCACGCACACACACACACACACACACACACACACACACACACACACAGTTTTATTTGTTTTGAAAGATTTCTACATCTAAATTATAAGACAGTGCCAGTGACTTATAATGTCACCTGGCTTCACATAGGTAAAGACAGAAATTCTGTAGAAGGCACTGTAATTTCTCTTGCATGATCTTACACAGACTCAGGAGAGCAAGCCAGCTGGGTCTTGGACTCATCTTTCCCTTTCTGTTCCCTGGCCTGTCCACCTCCAGTTGCCACCCCATATCAGCACAGTCCATGGGTTCTGCTGTCCATGATGCTTTTATGCTTGACATCCCATCCATCCAGCCATCCAAATTAATTTACAATTATCTTTTCGTTCCTTGAAATCCTTTAAAATTGAAAGTACAGCTCTGGTATAAAACAAAATATGACCTACCATAGCTGAAAAATAATCACAGTGTGCAATGTAATTTTCAGTTGCTGAGATTCAAAACATTTGCCCTGCCTGGTCCAGAATGGCTGTCATCCAAAATAATTCATGCAAGGAAAATTTTAACCTGCTTCGAATTCACTTGAATAGTGCTCTTCCTGGTGCTTCGGTGCCCTTACGTGAGAAGTCTGATGTGAGAAGACTGCAAGCGAATTGGACATGCCAAAAAATGCCATATGACTTACCGCAGGTAACCGAAACTGTACAGGTATGTACACCTTACCAAACCGAGGCTCCCCCTGTCAGGAACAGACCTCCGGCTCATTAGCATGAGTGTTCTCCAGGAGTTCTGCGGCGCTGAGGTCAGCGGACAAAGGAAGGGCGGGCTCTTCTGCTCTTGTTCAGGGGCCCCGGGCCGGCGTCCGCGCCGCCCTCCGCCGTCTCCTCCTTCTTCCTCACTTTGAGCTGGGTGAGCAGCTTAATCAACCAGACATCCCACTCCTCCGGCAAGAGCAGCAGGAGGAAGCCCAGGCCGATGATGACGATGGCGATGACACGCACCCCGTTGAAGACTATCTTACTGGTGTAGTGATCGACCACTGCGCGGGACAGAGAAGCTAGGTTACCGCGAGGCACGCCAGGCCCGTGCACGGGGTGGGGGTGGGGGTGGGGGTGAGGCCTGTTCTGGGCACAGCGGCCTTCCGAGGGGTGCTTTCTGCCTGGTGGCCGGGCGGCTGGCTTCTCTTGTCCACAGAATCTTCCTCAGTTTGGTTTTGCTCCAAGAGGGCCCCCTAGCCAATCACTCTTAATTTTATAACCACCCTGGGCGTGAGGCCTTGCCCTTGGGTCTCACTTTCCCACACTGACTGGGCGCCTTGGCAGATGCTGATTTGTGCAGGAGACAAAACAAATGGAAGGCAGTTGGAGAGACATACATACACCGCAGTTAAACTGTGGCCACCTCTGGGCGGCAGGATAATGAAAACCGTTAATACTTTCTTCATATTTTTGATAGTTTGCACATTTACCACAAGAACAAGAACATATCTACTTTTATAATTTTAAAGCATTATTTTGCAACACATGCATATATATATATGTACATATGTACATATGTACACACACACACACACACATGTTTTGAAGACCAAACTTGAACTGGTGTTTTTGAAGATAATCAGGATAAATTCTTGTTCCCCAGGGCCTTATTAGTGTGAGGCTCTATGCACCCTGTCAGCGCTGGTGGTTAGAGCTTATTAAAGGGCCACGGAGCACATGGCTCATCTCTGATTCGTATCCCTGAGGGAGCATAATGAGAAGTAGGATTCACGTCAGTAATAAAAATCCAGGTTATCGTTTTCCTCTAAAATAGACCAAAACGTTGTGGATGTAAAGGTTTCTTTCTTCTTTTCTTTTCCTTCTCTCTCTTTCTCTCTTTTCCTAACTAAACCAGACAAAGCAATTTGGAGCCTGCCTGCTACCCAAGAGAGAACCAGACTGCTTTTCTCCACTGCCATGTGTGCAAGTGGGTTGTGCTGACTCGGAAGATGTGGCTTCAGGAAGCTGATGTGCTGGGCAACTTCTGTGTGTGGGGTTGTCCTGCTGCTTTTTTTTGGCTTGGCTGTCTCACTTGTTCCTTCACTTCACCTGCCCTCCTGCTCTGCCCTCCCTCCCCGACTCTCATGTGGCCTGCAGGGTGCACAGAGAATGGGTGAGGGGGTAAGGGGAAACTGGGGAAATAACTTTGTTAACAGCCCTTTGGTGGGACCAAAATGCCTCTGTTCCCTCACTATATTCGAAACACTTTAATTTTGAATGTTGGTGGAACATTCTGTTGATTCAATAGATGGGGCTAGTCAAAGAGCAAATCACATGGGCTACACTAGAGGGATGTCAAGGGGGAGCCCGAAAGCTCAGCCGAGACTCTGCTCTGACATGTCAGGTGATGGCAGGTTCCTCTGCTTTTCTCCTCCAACTGAGAGTGCAGTGTGATTCCTTCCTTTGACATATTATTAAATCTATTATGTTGTAGGTAAGTAATAAGAAATATTTCTGATAATTCTCTCAAACTCTGGCTACATGACATGGTCAAAGTGAGCTATTCAGAGCTGCCTGGAATAGGCCTTTTTGCAATAAGATCATGGTGTAACTATAAACAGGCAGTAAAATGTAGGGGGAAGTTGGTTATTTTTCAGAAGCCTGGGGTGTCTAGAGACTGACAGGCCAGACCACATTTTACCAGCTCGCAGGACCTCAGAGGCTTTCTGTATTGCGAAGTGCTGCTCAATAGATTATTTCTTGTCAACCAGGGTCATAAGGAATCAACCCAGGTAATATGATCTTCACTTTTAAGGGAGATAAGCTAAGGTCAAGAGTGGTGATGAGTTGGGACCACCATCCTCCAGGCCTGCAGGGGTATGCTGAGCCTCAGCCCAGGCCCCTGATGCACCCTCCTGGCCCTTTTCCACACTTCATCTTGAGGTGCTCCTAGAAGAGTCAGGGGCCAGTGTGAGGCATGTACAGAATCAAATCATGGGAAAAGACTTAGGAAATTGAAAGATGCTTTGCTTATGCTTCCAGGCACATTAAGGCCATACTGAACTGGGTAAGGCTTTCCCTTCCTTGGGCAGCTAATCCTCTGATGGCTGGATGTAGGAGGGTCCTGGGGATGGCTCCGGATAGAGCTATTTCAGGCCTAAGGGATGAGTGCTCTAGAGAGAGCACATTATACAGGGAGGTCAGCTGTGAAGTAGGGGATTCTGGGAAGAAAATCCACAATTCACAGCAGAATGAGCCAGTGAAAGGCAGGAGGTGAGTGGCAGGTGACAACAAACCTTTGGAAGAGCTGCCAACTGTGTCTGTCAGCGAGTCTCCATTGGAAAACAAAGCAAGGTCCTGAGTGCCCAGGCAAAGGGCTCCCTCTCTTCTGGAAGGTGGGAAATAATGCTCTTGCTTCTTCAGTTTGTAAACATATCTTTATGTCATACCCTAAGCAAATTTTCTCCCCCTGAAGGTCACTTAAAAAATTAAAATTTTTTTCTGCTACATATTTTTCTATATTTACTGATACTATTAGTGATATTCACCTCAATCCCCGTACCAGTTACAATCTAAATGGCTTTAGACTTTCTGTACCTTGGTGTGGTAAGTGAAAATCAATCCATTATGGAGAATATATTGCATATATAACAAACAACATTTTACCTAAGTGTTTTCTTGCTATACTAAAGTTAAACATGCATTCTGTATGAGACACAGCAAGAACATACGTGTGTGTGCGTTTGTGAGTGTATGTTTGTGTGTGTGTACATGTGTTTGTGTGTGTTTAAGAGTGTGAGCATTTACCAGCAGAAACAGAAAGCCACGTGGGCTTACCTGCATTCACAGGTACACTGAAGACAATTCCGAGAGACATCAGAGTGGGATATGTAACAGCAATTCCAAAATTTAATACAATATTGAATGCTGAAAGAGAGGACGGAAACACGGGTGTTACTCATGACTGGCCCTGACTTCACATCCTTCCCCATCTCTGCGACCCCAGCTTCTCTGATGAGCTGGAATCTCAGCCGTTAGCACCGCCCTTTGCTCTGACTCAGTGAACACAAGGTTCCTGCAGGGCTCCAGAACTTGGGGACCAGGGACAAACACCCTGGTTGCACAAGCTCTCCTTTTCCCGGAGTTTTGGAAAAGGGATTCAGAGAGGGTAGCCAGTGAGAAGGTGCTGGGACAGAGGTCAGGGCCACCCTGCTCGTCTTTTGACTTTGCCCTCTCTGTGTGGGCCATGATTCTGGGGTGACTGTGAATGGGAGCTCTGGGACACACCCTGGGTGCAGCCCCTCCTTGGTTGCTTCTCTGCTGAGGACCAGCCTTGAATCAAGCAATGGTGATGATGATGATGGTAATAATGATCACTGGAAACACTTATGGAACATTGACACTTATCAGGCAATGCCTTAAAAGTTCTGCATTCATTAATTTGCCAACTCCTTATCAGCCCTATAAGGAATGTACTAGTACCAGTAGTAACACACAGCACTGGGCTATCAGCTCACTGTTTGGAGCAGCAGGGACTGTGGCCACTGTGGCAGTGGCCATCGTTCCGGAATCAGAATCCATGCTGGTTTTCTCCTTCAGGGCGCGGGTCTCCAAAGAGGCCCTGGGCTGCAGGGGTCCTGTGCTGCCAGGCCATGCTCTCTGGGGGCTCCGACGGGGGCCACTTACTCAATAAGAGGACTGAAAATCCACAAAGGCTTCCCCATGGAATGTCGCTGAAGGAGCTCCAGTATTCCACTTTGGTAAAGTAGAGAATGACAGGTATACAGGTGACGAAGAGGATGTTAAACACACCCAGAATGGACAGAAATAAGGCAGCCTCTCCAAACTTAGCGCTCCCCAGCAGGAGCTTGAAGAGAACCTGCCGGAGAAAGAGAGGAGGGTTCACACAGACCCCAGCTCGCCCCAGGGAGCTGAAGGTGCTGCCAGCTCTGTGGCAGGTGAATTCTACCTCCCCAGGCCTTAGTGCAGGGATGGTGGGGTCTGCCCGTGCACACCACCAGTACAGGGACCCAAGTCTCAGCAACCTCACGATGGCAGCTACGCCCTGGCCTCATAGCACCTTCAGGAACCATGGGTTTTCACACTAGGTTTGATTTGTCTGTGTTGTACTCATGATAGCACATCCCAGGTTCAGAGCCATTGAAGATGAGGAAGAAATTACAATTATCTGCCTTGAATACACATTCCCCCCTAAAATTGATCTCTGACCTTGTAGGATACAGTTTGCCCCAAAGAAAAAGGGCTTTGGCTGTGAAGACATTTTCTAAAGATTATGGGGAGGGATCTAACACCCCCAGCTCGACTCTGCTCCATCCCACCACCTCCAAACAGCCTGGGTTTAGCAGAATGCACCCAACTTTGATTTCTTGCACCTGTTCCCAGTTATACATATTTCAGGTGCATGAAAGGCCAGGCATAGAGGGCCAGATGAGACTGCGGTGGCTGGGAAGCTGAGCTTACAAGAGGCAGCAGGCCCCCATCCAGTCCCTGTGCCTAGTTATGACTTACAGTTATGGAACTGATGTGAGTCCAGTTTGTGTCTCTGTATTGCTATCGCTCCTACTTTTCCTGCCTCTTCCTTTTTCAGCCACTTTGCAACTCTTTCAGGTCTTTCTGAGCTTATATGTAGGAAGGATGGAGAGACAAATAAATTGCTTCCAGCCTTCCATCTGAATACGCAGTGGGCAGTGGAGGGTATGGAAAGGGAAGTCTATCTCAGAATATCTGTGTTCACCATAAATTGCATTTCTACATGCTCTCTGCTTCCCATTAGCACATAGCTAATATGGCAGAGTGGCCTTTTAATAATTTCTGAGTTTGGATAGTGGCTTTAAAGTCTCTGAGTGGCACTAGACTATCACATCCTCTTGGTGAGATTTGTCCCAGAGAAGGAAGGTCATGTATGTCTCTCTGTGGGCAGGGAGGACAGAGCTGATGCAGGAGAAGAAGGTACAGTTATTTCACTTTATGAAACCATGAAATGTGTTCCTCATGAGCTGAAAAAAAATGCCTTTTCTTTAACTTTCTGCTGTGCTTATTTTTCTGTCCTATGGTCTGGATCCCCAAAGGGCCAGTAAATCTCAAAGCTAAAATCTTGTTTCTCATTGTGTCCTCCAGGTCATGTTCCCGGCTTAGAGACCAGAACCTATTTGCCTTCTCTGCTCTGGGTCTGAAGAGGAGGACAAAAGGATAAAGGGGAGGCCAGGGGAGCAAGCAGCAGGAGGCACGATGGAGTAGAGGACCAAGAGCCAGGCATGAACGTGTGCTGATGGAAAATGGTTTCACCTAGAACTGCAAGCAGGATATGCTTGCCAATGGATCCCTATATTTTGTCAAAAATAATTAGTATGTATTAAAAATTTTAGTAATAAAAGTGTTTACTATTTCAGAGTAGTTGTGCTTCCATTTATTCAGCCTATGGGCAATTCTTGAAATGCATATGGATTCATGCTCAGTACTGGGTGGTGGCCATGTGATGAGATTTAAATGACAAAGCTGTGCCAGATATTCAAATTTCAGGTCCAATCTGGTGGGAAATGATCTAACCAAACACTGAGCCAGCCACTTAGGGACTCTGGTCCTTCTGCAGTCTGCACCACACAATGCAGTCACTAATCTGACTCTGATCCATTTTTTCACCCACTGTATATACTAAATGCTGTACATCATGGCCATGGATGGAGAGGTCTGGACAGCCAAGGCTGAGCGCAGGTGTGTGCCTCATCAGGGCAGCCTCAGTCTGCCTGGGGCATGCTGCAAACAGCTGCTGGTTGTAAAGCACAGGCTTTACCATCGAAGGCTTTACCATTGAAGGCTTCCCAGAGGCAATGGGCAGCTGAGCTGGGACCCACCTTGCTCTCCAAGAGGCTTGGAGAGCTGGTCCTGGGGGCTTACCTTGTAGAGGGCAGACATGGACGCGGAGCCCACCGCCAGGGCTATGCCGATGACAGAGTGGCTGTGGAAGCCATCTGCGTAGGTCATCATCACGATCCCAGCGATGGCGAGGATGGCAGCCACTATCTGGACCAAGGGAGGAAATGGTGGTCAGGGTAGTGGTGAGGAATGGGAGGGACCACCTAAGGGCTCAGGAGGGAGAAACGCTTGTGAGAGTTCAATGATGTGAGAGGAGAGGGTCTCCCTTCCAGTTCTTCTTTGGAGAACAGCAGGCAAAGGCCACTCCTTTGTCTAAATGTTTGTTCCTATCCAAAGAATCTCCAACAGCTGGTAGCAAGTAGAGGCCTAGTGGCTTAGCATCAGAGGTGGCCAGTCACCTCAAGGAGAGTTGGCTGTAATCCCAACAACAGGTCATTTGGTCACAACAAGGCCTGGTAGGCAATGCCTGGACGGCATCTGATACATGACCTCTTGGCTCCTTTGCAACCTTCTGGAAGCACTTCCTGTGGTCTTGTTTTTTTTTCACCTCCCTACAGAGAGGGCCTAGTGAGGACCTCTGACTCAGCCTCATTTTACACACCAGCAGTAGGATCTTCTGACAGAAGACAGGTGTCACCTGTAACCTGTCACAAGGGCTATAAACATTGTCCTAACTCTGGAGGTACAGGGCCCTCTCCCACAGACCCCCTTGGTCCTGTTATTGTCCAGATACAAAATTCTCAGGTTGAATGGAAGCCCCAGAGAACATACATGCATCTGCTGTGCAAAATTAAAAGCATTGCGGTGCACGGGTGATGGACTGCTCTGGAAAACATTTCCCCAAGGAGAAACGCATCAGTACAGAGAGTAAGTGCAAGTCCTGATCTGAGGTGGTCACACAGCTGCACAAATGCCATGGGGTGGGGAGGAAGGAGGGGCTGCTGGAGGCAGAACGTGGAAAGCGCAGAACAAATGTGTGCAACACGTTTTCATTACTGGATTTATTGAAAGTTTTATCCCTTTGTGGATTATTCAAAATTGACCCCAGCTACCTCTAGCAATATCAGATAGCTAACATTTATGAGTGATCATGGGTTAATGTTTTCTATGTATTTTCTCAATTAATCCTCAAAATAGGTATGTAGATCTTTTCATTTCATAACATGGAAATTGAGGCTCAGAGAGATGAAGTAACTTGCCCCAAATCAGAGAGCTGGTGTGTGACAGAGCAGGGACACAAAACTTCAGGTCTGTCTGAATGCAAAGTCAGTGTTTACATACATAAACAGGGAAGTACAATTCACATAATAAGCTGTTGCCACCTACACTTGGAGGTTTGAATTGAGGTTTCCTTCGTGGTTTAAATGTAAAATTTTTAGGCTGGTGAAAAGTAATGTGGTTGTCTCACATGGCCTGTCTGAGTTATGTATTTCTCCTACTGTACTCCTCATGCAATACTGTCATGTAATGATATGTCTGCCCATACAACAGGCTCTTGAGAGAGATGACTGCCATTTAATAGAAGCACCAGCCTGCAGTCTGTCTACTTGCTCTCTCTGGTTTAGTGAGTCTTTCGTATTCAAATGCTATGCTACGTGTACTGTGAACAACTGCTCATTAGGACAAAGAGACAGAGGTAGCAAGGCAACAAGTGATTCGTTTTCCCCAAGAGAACAAGAAAGGGGCAAGTGAGGAAGCCAGCAGGAAAGGGGTGGTTTCTGCTCCCAAAGACACATCCCAGGTGGAGAGGCTGCCTGGAATAGTTCACCTGAGTGGGCGTCAGTCAACACAGAGAAAAACAATTAGAAAAAGAAGGGAGGGAGGGAGAGAGGGAGGAAAACAGCCAAGTTTCAGATGCTTCCGTGCATCTCCAAATGTATCTTGAATCTTACCTAACTTAGGGCTGAAGTTGGAGGGAAATGAAGGAATGAGGGCTATTTTTTGTTGCAGACTTACAAGGCCAATATCCAGCGTCCTCCTCTCCCTTCTCTGTCGATTAAACAATAAACAGCTAAAAGCGTCCATCAAGTTGTGCTAGGCGTAGCTGACGGAAGGGGCTGGTGGGAAAGGAGGCATGTGGAGGCCGCCACCTTCTGGCTAACATCTGAAGAGACCTGAGCTCAGGTGACTCTGGGACAGGGATCCCCTCGCTCACACCTGCGGGACCTCTCCTCTTGGGAGTGGCCACAGTCACAGGACCAGCCTACTCTGCCCGGCCCTAGCCTCAGCCGCCACACTGCTGAAGGGGAGCTGGCAGCTTGGCTTCATCCTGTCACCCCTGGTCACAGAGGAGTTGAACCGCAGCCAGCAGGGCTGGAGGCAGAGCCTAAGAGTCCCTCCTCAAGCCTGATGAGTCTTTGAAGATTCCAGTTCTCTCTTCAAAAAATAAGTGTGCACTGTACATCTTAAACCATGACAGATCTAGCTTCCTAGGTGTGTGCCTGGAAACATTCCCTGGCTCCTGCACCAAGAAGAGCTCTCTGGGAGGGTGTGCTTGTCCTGTGGCCTCGCGTGCCCTTAATCGTCTAGATCTGGGCATCTCTGAGAAGAAGGCTAAGTCTAAGGATGAATGAAGATGGAGAATTTCTGTTTCCCCAGACATCTGCTTTCTCATGCCTTCCCACCCCATCCCCAGCCCATGCATCCCCCTGACCTATCCAAAAACCAGGGCCCAGGACCCAGACTGCTGTCTAACAGTGGCATTGAGGCCCAGAGTGGTGAGAGCCAGCATGTCCTTCAGCTGAGGAAGAAACCCAGGCACAGGAGACACTGAGGCCAGCACACTGCCATTCAGCCTCAAAAGGGGGCCTCACCTAGTGTGGCTGTCTGTTGTCACCTGCCTGCCTCAGGGCTCCAATTCAGAGCCCCAGCCAGCCCAGAGGTGGCCACCCAGGGTTCCTGGCCACATGCTCCCTGTCAGATGTCAGGCTGGGGGAAGGAGAGCGAAGGCCTGGGCATCAGAGAGGGGATAGGGATGGCCAGCAGCCCTTAGGAGGCCTGGTCACCTCTCACACTAGCATGGCTTCTACTCCCCCTCAAGAGGTGACAGGCTGCATGTCCTCTGCCAAACAGAACCCTGACCGCGAGAGTTTAAATTTGTACAGTTTGGGGAGATTTTGAAGTAGGGAAAGAACAGACTACTTTTTAAATTTACTTTAAAACTTTTTCCCCAATGCCTGGACTGTTGTCATCAATCCTGAGTAGCAGAGTTCAGAGGGGACCCTCTAGCTCACCTCATTGAAGAGTGTGGAAAGGGGCCTGGGCTGTGGGTGTCCACCTGTACTCTCCTGTGCTCTGCAAGCCCTGTGTCCTCCCCATGCTGTGCTCAGGTAGCAGGGGACAGCCTCCCAGACAGATAGCAGTCACCATCTGAAGGTGGTCTTACCGTTCAGGGACAGCCCCTTGTGAAACACTTATAATTGTTGAAAACATGAGCCAGAGTCTGATTGAGATGGGAATGTGTCATGGTAGAAGCACAGGACCCCAGATGTGCTTCCAGGGCTCAAGGTCCCATGGGCTTATCCCTTAGCCTGCCTCCCTGCCCCTCTGCCCTCATGCCTGCTGTGAAGCCCTAACTGTAGAGGGCTGTTAGGAGCAGCTGCTGGACAATCGGAGAACCACACCCCCCCCTTCCCTGAGAGGGGGGCCAGGCATGGGCTTACCCACTCATTTCTTATCAGCTGCTGACCAAGCTGTGGGCCTCAGCTGGAGGGGGCCCACACCTCAGGCCCCTTGAGTGCTACTTGCTCCCATTCTGCTGCTCCTTTGCTACATAAAACTGCCTTCCTGAATGTTTGCCAGCTCCCTAGCTCCTGACACTGTCAACAAAAGAACAGGGCTGGTGCATCTAACCTCTCCAACTGAGAGGGGAGATAAGAACACTGAGAAAGAGAACATTTGAGTTTTATGTGCCAGACATATACCTTCTTATTCTCACAACTGTTCTATGAGTATTTATATTCCATTTTGAAGTGAGGTAACTAAGGCCCAGAGATGTTAGGTAACTTGCTCAAGGTCCCACAGCTTGTAAGAGTAGAACCAAGATCCAAACTCTAGTCACGTGACTCTAGACTGGAGCACTTCCCTGTTATATTAGAAACCCCGAGTCTGGAGATCCAGGAACCATAAAAGCACATGTAAGCACAGAGTCAAAGGGTGACACGGGGGCCAGCTTGGGCTCCTATCAACAGTCACCTCAGATGCCATAAGTGGCTGGGATCTCCCCAGCATGAGAAGACACATTTACTCCTTCTGGTCAGTCCACATGACCTGGACCAGTTGATCTTTTCTAGGAACCACAACCCTTGCGATTTGACTGTCTTAATACTATAGGTCCTCTGTGCAATCTGCTCCATGAACAGAATGGTGAGGCTCCATTGTGTTCTCTGTGCGTACATGACAATCAAGCTCCTATGCTCAGCAGTCCATCCTGGGGAAGAGTATCAGTTTCCTCCACTCTCTGGAAATTAGCCAGTGGAAGAAGGTGCTAGTTCACCCAGCAGCCTGGGAGTGGTGTAAGAGAACCCGCATGCCTATTGGACATTATTTTGGCCTTAAATCTCCACCAAGGGGCCACTTCCAGTCATTCTGGCCAGCTGCTGGCATCTCACAGACTTCACTAGCTCTCTGAACTCTTGAAGATGTGCAAGGCCAAATCCAGCACTGGGAAGCTCTGAGCTGACTGGTCATTAATCAGAGAATCAATGATGACCAGACAGATTCACAGCTGCACAAGTGCTTTGCAGGTCACAAAATTCCATCGCCAACACTGGCTCCTCCGACCTTCATTTCAGTGCTGGCCTAGCTAAAGTTCAACACAAGACTATTGGGCATGCAGTGGTCAGCGCACACCAAACTGTTCAAGTGACCAGGATGGCTAGACTGTATTGTAACTCAGCGATATTAGGCAGAAACCCTCTTAGCCACGAATAGCAACAGAGAAGAACTGGACATGCCATATCGTTCTCTACGGTCTAGGAATGTTTCAAGTATTTTCATACTTCCTTTTCTGAACCTGAAAATTATTGTTTTCTTCTGCCTAGATGCAGAAAGTCCCTTGAAATTTCTCTTCCCAGTAACACGTTCTCATCTGCAAGTTGCTTTGGACATCACAGAGTCATGCCGAGAAGTTCTATGAATTCCCTTGGCATTTTACATCAAAATAAAATTGTAATGGGCCCCAGGACATCCACGTCCCCAGTGTCCTGTCAGGCAGGCCATTGGGTAGATTGCTCCTGGAAGTACCTGCATTTCTTGTGGAGATGTATTAGATCATTTATTTGTTGAAAGCTTTTCTGGGTGGTAACACAGTAAGTTTTTATTCCAAAATTAACACAGCCTCAAAACAAAATTTCCCCCTACTGCCAGCTAAAAATACTACTCAGCAGTTGACTCATGTCCCCACTGCTGTTTGAGTAACTAGGTGGGCGTGAATCCACCATTAGGGTGATGTCATTGCTCCCAGGACAATGAGTGAAAGACACAAGTTTGGGGCCTGCAGTCTGCCTCTCCCTGGGTGTCGGCATCGTTTGCTCTAATGGGACTGCCCATTCAACTGGCTCTTAGCTTCACGCCGGCCTAGCCAGAGAGTGCACAGAAGAGTGAGCTGTGGGCTCTACCAGGAACTAGCCGCCTGGCCAAATCCTCTTTTTGTCCTTGTTGGGGAACGCAATAGCAGCTCCTGGCCACCAGAGGGAGACAAACAGAAGGCACCAGGATTCTGTCAACACTAAAATTTTACCTGTTCCCTTTTTTCAGGGAGCGTCCCTCTGCATTTCAGCTGATATTTGCTAGTGTTTTGATCATATTTTGTACAACTGCTATGAAGTTTGCCTAGCTAAATTTGACTACGTTTTAATGGAATTTCCTACATCGTGGCTGTAATAATGAGAAGTAATTCAAGGGATATAATTTCACTCTCCCTTCAGTTGGGATGTGAAGGAAATGGAATCCCCTCTGCAACTTGGATTTCGCATAAATGCATCTGGCCACTTTGGCTCTGTCACATGGCCGAGACGCAAGGCCCACCATGAGCGCGCATGTGCGTGGATATGGAAAGACCTTTGGCTTTCAGATGCATCCTAAGCAGAGGGTGACAGTGCTATCAGAGAGCTTCAGGTACCAGGGCACAGCTGCCCATGAGAGAGGTGAGCACACAGAGAGGAGAGCACATCACCATTCCTAGGTTGGGGCCCCAACTGGTACATACTTTAGGGAATGCTCGTTGAGATGCTTGAAATGAAAGGTGCCTTAATGAATGTTTGTCTACTATGGTTCTATGGTTTGCAAGCAAGAAGGTTTGCAAGGCACACCAAGAACTGGGCCCGCTGCTGGGTTCCTTTTCTGATGCAGATCAGAAGGAAGGTGGTCAGCAGCTTCTGCTTGTGGTCTAGCACATGGAGCTAAGCAAGCCAATGGGCAGGTTTTGGTTGACATGACTGAGTGAGGGAGGAAAACAGATAATAAAGAACTTACCCTCACTCCCATGAACCTGTCCCTGAGAACGATCCATGAGAGCAAGAACACAAAAGCTTTGTTGCAGCAGAACAAAACGGAGACATCCGTAGTGTTTATTTTCTTTATTGCATGTAAGTACAGGTAGTTTGTGAGTGTCCAAAGAACACCAAAGGGTGCTGCCTTGGTAAAAAACACCTTCAAAGTCAAGCCATTGTCTCCAAAAAATCGACAGCATTCCCTAAAACAAGGAAAGAGAGGCAGTGTTATTATATTCTTGGGTTGACACAGATCATTTTCTTCCTATAACTAGTTTTTTTTTTTACAGCAGATATAGGAAAGGGTGGGTGTCCTTTTATGTATTATCATTTTTTATGAACATCTTTCTATTAAAGCTCTTCAACCTGTGGCTTTAGTCCCTTGACAAAGAGAGCACACCATGATCTGGTGTCATAGATTATTCCTTCTGTTCCTATTGGGTTTGGAACTAATGGTCCTAGAAAGAAGGTGGTGTTGGGTTTATCTGATCTGAAGAAGGCCCGATTCCATGGTAATTGACTGAGGGATTCTGTCACTTGCATAGTAGAAGAAGGAAGTCACTTTTCCTTTTGTTTTGAGGGAGATACTTGAAGAGAACTCATTGAAACATTTTTTTTTTTTTAAATTTGCCCCTCCTTGGAATTGTGTTTGTGATCAGAGAGGGGCAGTCATTTCTTGGCTGCATCTACTACACTTGGCTATGACACAAATAGTGGTAACTATACATTTTCTCATCAGGTGCTTTTTAGAATTTGTTATTATACTGTGGAAGTTCATACCATCTAAGAGACCAGCCCAGGAGGAATGAGCAGATCCAAGAATATGGCATTTTAAGAGTGAGATGAGAAACACCTGAAGAGGAAAGGCTTTCCATGATTACAGGGGAAGGACTGTTGATATCTGAAAGACCAGTTAAGAAAAATAAAGCCAATCTTCCATGCACAGAGGAAGACAGTAGAGGGGGTCACGGGGTGGAGAAAGTGGAGAGAGAATGAGAGGGGCTTGGTCTACAGACAGCTGCCCGCTGCCCCGATGTTGGGGAGCAAAGATCACTGCTCTGCTGGGTCTGACGAGCCAGGCCAGGGGCAGACGAGCGAGGACATATTGCTCCTGTAACCATGACTGTCCAGGCTCACAGACCAGGCCCAGCATGGCCGAGGCACCGGTGAGCGAGGAAGGGAGTCAGCACAGGACAAGATGTGACTAAAATAAGCTAAGTATGCTAGGGTGGGAAAATAAGCCATTTTGCAGTAAACTGCTGCAAACTGAAAGAGGAAAATTTAAGATAAAAGTCAAGGGGGATTTGGAGTGGTTGTTAATTTTGTTTTTATCATCAATCTAAAATGAAATCTGTACTTGTTCATTGCTTGACTGTGGGATGTTCATAGAAGAAACAGAAAACCCATCACCTTTCATTCAACTTAGAATCCTACATTACTTCTAAACCAACACAGGTAAAACATTCAAATCACTATCACTACATTTATCATGAAATCAGTTCAACTGAATTGATTCTGTTTGGCTTTGTATAGATAAAACTCTCATCTAACTGGTAGGTTGCTATTTCTGTTTGCCACATGACTTTCATACATTATTTCAGCTGCATTTTCTATGGGGTTTTCTTGAGCCCCTATTCACAGAACAGTCTTCTTTCCCTCAGGGACAGTGACCAGGGATGGCTTCCTTTAAGTTTGTAATTGTGGTGGCTATAAAGTGATGCCAGTACCCTTCAGTGTGATCAACTGGAAATACAAGTATTCTTTCCTGCCATTAATGCCAACCTATTTTAACTATACTTACTCTTAAAGGAACACAGTGCAAGTAGGACTTTCAAGTTTCCCCTGACTCACTATTACAAAAAAATGATTCATGTTGTAGCAGAGCCATCCAAAGCCAAGTGGACACCTTATGTCCTCTATGAGAGTCTAATTTAGTTCCTCCAAGGTGTGATGCATGTAGAAGTGGTGGGAAGGGATTGGGGCACAGACATGGCTGGGTACTGATGACCCAAATTGCTGACTGGAAATGAGGGGAGGTGTGGGGATCCACCCTGGAAAAGGTAAAGGCAGGATTTCTGCACCCAGTAGAGTTCTGTTGGCCCTCTGAGGACTTATGGCCAGTAGATTACAGTTCAGGTGGGTAGGTCTTGGTTCTACTGAGACCAAGATGATTGTCTCCAGGCCAGTGAATGTTGTGCTGTTTTGACACCACAGACTGAGCACTAATCCATGTCACTGGCTTGTCCATTATACCCTTGGATGCAAGGGGACCCAAGTGAGAAGATGAGCACAAATCCATTTTTGCTAGAGACTGCTTCTTGGTACAAGAATAGACTACAGTAGAACACTTTCTTGACTGATTGCCACTTAACTGATGTGACAGCCGATGCCCTTCAGTCCTTGGCAGATGAAAGGCCCAAGGCTGTCAGGTCAGTATTCAGCCCGCCCAAGACCATTGGTTCCTACCAATCGAGTTGTATGCTGGCCAAGATTTAGATGGGCTTGGTTCCAATCCTGCTTGTGCCAATTCCTCTTGGTTATTTCAATTAAATATTTCCTAAACCAATATGATATGAGTGAGTAAACAGAGTTGTGTTTCCCTATGGCATCTAAGTCCAAAGCACCAAGGAAGACTCAGTAAAGGCAAGTCACTAAAATATTGCTATTGAATGAGTTATAAATGAAATGCTGAGAAAGGCAGAATAAAATATAAAAATGTCTAAGTTCTACACTTTTATTATTTAACAAATGCCTATGTTCTTGGTACTCTTTAAAGGACCCCGACTGGGATGGTCTGGCTTGGTAAGATTAGGATGGATTATCATTTAATTCAATTCAAAAAGCATGTTAGTTGTTATATTTACAATCCTAGATAAGGGCTCTGGCTGATATAAAAGAAGTATTGAATTGAGAAGATATAGTGCAAATGGGGGGGATTAAAGCCAATTTCTTAATAGGAAATAATGCAAGTTCAAATATCACATATTTGATGGTAGGGAATATAATAGTGCTATGGACTTCATGTCTAGTGGACAGAGTGGGACTGACTGGAGAAGGCCTCATAAAAGATATGGATTTTGAGCTGAACCTTGAAGGATAAGTAGTATTTACACACTGGTATTGGGAGAGACATAATATCCTTGGAGAGATAGGAAAATCAGTTGTGTCTATGAAATAACAACAAATGGCAATAAAAAAGGAAATGATATTTGAAATTAATTAGTGGATAGCCAAACTTATAAAATAAATAGAAGAGTTGGAATATAAAGTCAAGATATCTTTTATGAGTCAGAGAGAGGGAGTGAAAGAGAGACACAAAGAAGAAAGAAAAGATAAAACTAGAAGGTCAAGACAGAAGGTCCAACATTGAACTAAAGAAACTTCATAAAGAGGAAAGAGAAAAATTAAGTGGGGGAAATTACAAAAGAAATAATTAAAGGAAATTTTTTAGAGGTATAGAACAGGAGTCTTTATAACAAAATGGCCTACCAAGTACCAAACAAAATGAATGAGGAAAGAACCACAATGAGGCACATGCTTGTAACACAAAGGGATAAAAATAAAGCTCGAAAGGTCTTTAGAGAACTAAAACCAAATAGGTTAAAGGATATGAAAGCTTAACAGCATTAGACATCTCAACAACAAAAATGGAAGCTAGACAATAACAGCCTTAACATTTTTCAAGGAGAATTTTTTTCCAAGCCAGAATTCTCTAACCAGCCACATATCAATCAAAAGTAAGGGTAGAATGAAGATATTTTCAGTTATGCAGTACTTGAAAACATTGTCTCCCAAGCCACAGGAGGACAGGCAGCCCCAAAACAAGGGGAAAACTAAGGAGGAGGTGGAGACGTGGCAGCAGGAGATAGGGCTCCTGCACAGGCAAGAGAGAGCTGGTCCAAGGCAGATGCTCGAGGGTGGACCAGGAAGGTGCAGAGGGCTCTGGGAGGCGAGTTCCCAGCAAACTCTTGTGATTAAGCAAGCTCAGGGAAAATATGGATAGGTTTTTGAAATAGTGGAACATTTAGGAAAAAATGCAATCATGAATGGAAAACAAGGTAAGTGAGACAAAAGAGGCAAATATTGCTGGCAGGAAAATGACAGGTGGTTCACAAAAGGAGACAGAGCTGGTGTGCAACATCTGCAAGGCTTATAATAATAAAAATACTGTTGACCAAAAACTGGGATAGTGTTATGTTGGAGGGAACAGAATCAGGGAAAGTGGACACATGGGATGGGACAGAAATCAGTAGTTGTCTACATTTAAGAAACACAGAAATAGGAGTTTAATTTTGGTTACTTGGTATAAATACAAAAATTCAGAGTGGATGACAGTGAGCAGGTGTGGAGCAGGAATTCCTGTTTTTTATGATAATTCTTTTACTACTATTTTGCTTTACCAAAGTATGCACATGTATTAAATGGCTAAAAATAAAAGTTATTTAAAAACATCTGAGAGGAGTGGAGTCATGTGGTTGAAGCTGAAACAAGAGTGCTCTGAGAACACTCTGAGGAGCGCAGTTTGAAAACCATAGATAGAGGGATGTGCTATAAGCTGTACAGAAAGATGATGTACCCCAGATGGATTAAACCATGCACTCATGCTCCATTGGATCATGGTGGAGCCAGCCCTACCCCTGTGCTCAGTCCTCAGGGAACATACTAATGATCCCTCTCTATTTTGGATCCTTTCCATCACCATTTAAATGTGTCTGAGCCTCACCAACCTTAAAATACTCACCTCCCCCCACAAAAACTAGCATCTTGTCAGCCCCCTCTCCTCTCTCTTCCCCTCTTTCAAAGCCAAATTTTCTCAGAATTGTCATCTGCACACATCCCACATCTGCCTCCCACTCTTTCGCTCACTTTAACGCAGTGCCTACTACCACCCTTCACCCAAACCCCCAGATTGATTCATTACTAAGGACCTTCACATTGTGAAATCTAACAGTGTTCACCTTATGGTTGGAAGTCTCTGACATTGTTGACTGTTCCCCTGAAACACCATGCTTGGCTTCTAACTCAGTGGAGTCCCCTGGCTCTGCCCGGACCTCTCCATGCCATTCCCAGGCTTCCTCCACAAGACTTCTCAGTATTTTCACAGGTTTCTCTTCTAGTTCCTCTTTTCACCATGCAAACAGCCACTGAGCAATCTCTTCTAGCACTATGGTTTCAAAGGCCAGCTGATGACTCTCTAGTCAAC